ATGGGAGTCAGCAGTTCGAACACTGCTTGGGAGGGAGCCCAGCCCCAGTCAAGTGCTGTAGATGCCTTCTGCTGTAGCTGTATCCATCTGCTGAAGATGGGATTGAGATCCTCCTATAACCTCAAAAAGTAACTCAACTTTTAAACAATCCATTGCTCTTCTATGTATGAGTCCCTCAGTCTAAACAAAAGAGCCAGTACAAACAAAACGTGGTGTATTTGAGTCAGTAGTTATTGCAGCTGTGAACTTTGTCATAGAAACTTTTATTTCTAGACCAAACTATTCCAAGGATTATGAGAGGAACTGTGTGTGATGTACAGCAGTAGTGATGCATTTTCTGTCGGAACCCAGGATATTCCACTCTCTGCTCTGGATGACTCGAGACCCTGGCAGGGGGCTCAGAGACCTAGGCACGGAGTCAAAAACATTTGTGCCTTCGGTTTTAGCCCATGGAACAAACTACCAACTTTGTATGAAGATTTACAAGCCACAAGAGTTTGAGTAGAATGATAGCTGATTTGTCACAGGGTGAAAAAGTAGGATTTTGGAGTTTTAGAATGGGAGTTCAGGAGGCAAGATGGAGGAATTTGGACGTGTCCTGTCCTTCTCCTTCTTGTGCTCCATCTTCTGCTGTGATGGTGACACTTCTTGACTGGTTTAGAGTAGAGACAGACTGTCTACCATAGGTGATAGGTATTGGAAAATTATTGTAAATAAAGTACACCTTGTTCTTAGTATACAATGTTAATACCACTGTTGCAGTTCATTGGTGGGGGCACCCCGGGGAGTCCCTGGAGGGCACCCTAGGCTGTGAGTTGGCTGGCAGCAGCAGGCAGGAAAGGAGACTCCACATGGCTTCTGAGGGTGCTGATTAGATGGGGGTTTATTGGGGGTCCATCCCCGGGAGCAGCATGGTTACTGAGGGGGAAGGGGAAAGGGGGAGGGAGGGGGAGAGGGAAAGCCTAGGGGAGGGAGGGAGCAAGAGGGGAGATGGGCTAAGAGAGGAGAAAGGCTAAGAGAGCATTGATTTCGCTAGCACAGCTTAAGAGGGGAATTCAAAGTGGGTGCGGAATAACACTTGGGCCAATGGGGTTACAGATACAGGATGGTTCAGGGCAGGACCACAGGCTTAGAATATACTGTACATTTTGGAGGGGTGAGACAGAGTACCACCCCAAGGGCAGACAGGGTGCCGCAACCCAGCCTGCTGGACCGATCTCAGCTGGTCAGGGAAAGAATGTTATAGATAAGGAAAAATAACCTTGAAAAGCAGAAGTGACGAATCTCTACTTCTTTGGTTGTGGGGCTGGGAGCAAAAAGACTTTCTACTATCTCGGGGTCATCCCACCCCCAGAACCCCGACAATTTCCAATGGGAAAAATGTTTTGGGCTTGCTCAGTGAGCACACTAGTGTGATGCTGTTGGGCAGTGCAGCATCTGCTTCTCTTGAGGTACATGAGATGTCAGGTTGGCAGCACAGCTCTTGGTGTTTTTACTGATGATGGTCCTTACAGTGATAACTGTGTGAAGTTATATTTGCATATGCAGTCAGCTCTCTACAAAACAAATAATTTTGAATCTGTGTTAAATTCTGCCTTCTGCACCTATCATTCCATATACACTGTTGTTCCACTCCTTTAGGTAGTCTGTACTACAGTCTTGCTGGCGTTTGAAGAAAAGGCAGTGAAATGAAGATGTTGACCAAGTCCATAGTATGCATCCTGTTCCCTGAAATAATAAGCAATATACTTGATCATACAGATTAATGTTTGTATGTCAAGCAATGAGTACATAAGTAGTAGAATAAACAAGACTGTTCTTTACCTCCTTATTCAATGAGACAACACAAAACATAGTGCTGGTAAAAAGTGAGCTTCAGTAATAACAGTCTTAAAACACATGCAGTGACTCATGTATGTGAAAAGAATTGGCTCTTCCTCCTGTTTTGTCAAATGATACTGCTGTCTCAGGGTCAGTTACTGGTTGTGTGTTCCAGAAGGCAAAGCCTCACAGGCTAAAATTTTGGAGCTAGCTCACTTCTTTCCCAGTTGTAATGGCAGGTAAACTTAATAAGACCACAGTGCAATACACCTGCCCAGAGAATCTCAGTTTATTGTTACTGACAGGTGCTCAGAACTCAACTACAGTTACTAAAGAATGTGCAATGAGATATTTACAGCTTCACCAAATAATGTTTACAGGTTGTGTGCAGTACAGCAGTCTCAAGTTACCATCTGCTCAGTGTGGAAAATGTCACCTACCTCACAGAGGCAGTAGAAAATGCGGGGATGTACAGCAGAATCTCTCTGTGTTTGGCAGAAGAGAGATAATGGCCTTCTCTCCTGGACTTTTTCCCCAAATGCTTTTTGACCCATTCTGCATTTAGGAATGTTTGAATGGACAACTCATCAAAAGTTTGTGGAGCTGGGACCTCTTAGGTCTTGTTGGTTCCACCGCTGGGGTTAAAGTGAAATGCATCAGAAGTATTCAAGAGAATGCTTACCTAATAGTATCCTAAGATTTATAATACACTGACAGATTTTATAATCCATGTATGGTATTTCACTGATGCTAAAATTAATAGACTTAAATGTTGATTTAGACAGTTCCGTGAAATTTCTGGCCTTGAAGTTCCACAGCAGGATCTGTAATATGGCAGGGCCTTGCATTTGCAGGGGGAATAGGGGATCAAGTTGGTGAAAGCTGGGGGAAAAAGATTCTTCAAAGCAGTGAACCAGTGTAGAAGGGTGTGCTGCCACACAGCCTGGCAGCATTGCTAGAAGAGAGCTGGATTTTATAGTTGTTTCTTTCCCAGGTCTCACCAACAGGCAGTTTTGTTCATCAAGCAACCTCTCCTAAGCTTTGGAAACAGATGGAAGATCCCTAAGGAGATTTGCTGCTGTTATGAAGAGTCACGTGTCATACTAAGATTTGTTTTTCTATGGATGGGACAATTTTCAGTACTATTTGACCTTCAGAGGAGCATACAGAAATGACAGGAGTAGTGGATACTCTGTTTTAGGTTACTACTTCAAAGGGTGCTAATAAATTAAGTCTTGTCTGTTAAAGCCTACAGAAACAAGATCCTTAATCTCATTAATAGTGGGAAAAATTCACAGTAAGGGAGAGATTAACTGTTACACTTCAGAAGTGATCCTTCTGGGATGAAGCTGAGTTTCACTGGTAAATAACATTGTTCTGACTTGACTGCTGCTGCAGGATAAGAATTACATATAAAATCACAGCTCATTGTCAAGAAATGTGAGTCACACCCTGCAAGCAACTAAATCATCCTCCCCAAAATAGCTGATGTTGATTAAAATCCTGTCTGCCGTACTTAGTGCCAACATCCCGTAACATCCACACCATTACAACACTTTTGGAACTGTTTTTTTTCCTTGTATTCATTTGTCAGTTCTCATTTTTCCATCAAAGCAGAACTAGTTGCAAGGAGGAACTGCCGAGTTACACTTTTATGTGTCAAACCTAACTACAACCAGCCAGATGGGTCTTTTTTTTTTTTTAATTTTTTAAACAGAGGCTATAAATTGTAGCAGCTTGTTGAAGATGCAGGATCTCAGAAGATGGTGGATAGAGCTGCACAGGGTGTTTGGTTTGGTCTGTGATAGCTGGGCTGTATCTGGGTTCCTTAGGAAAGGAACACTATCCCTTTAGTGCCAAACATGGAGGGATTCACTGCTCTGTGTCTTTGGATTTTGTACTGTCCATACAAGAGCACATTTACCATGTTCAGCAGAGAGTAACTTAACACTGCTATTTTGCAGAATTGGATTCCTCTGTAATTATCATGTTGGTTTTGGTTTTTAAAAAAAGAAACCCAAACAACTATAGTGCAAAAATAGTGCTATTTCCCACTTCCAAGAAGCTGACATGTCTGCATCTGGCATACTTACATATTTTATAACCAAATAGTATAATGACTTTCAAGACCATATAAATCTTTCAGTGCAATACAGTAGAGTACCAAGTAATATTGCTAATGCATGTCACATTTTCACCTTGGAAACCTCAGTGTGAGACCCCCAGCCACAGCCTGGATGAATAGCTCCTGCTCAGGGCAGCTCCTCAGGAGTCCCACACAACCTGAACCCACAAGCTTTGTCCTTGTGCTAAGACCAGCCCTAATGCTGGCCATGTTTGCAGTTACTAAACAGCCTCTGTGGTGAATCAACCAGCTCTGCATCAAAGCAAGGTCAGCTACAGCTGCTTGCCCAGGGCTGGGTCTAATTGGGGTTTGAGTAGCTCCAAGGATGGACACTCCATCATCTCTCTGAACAGCCTGTGCCAATATCCTCACACTGTCCTTAGATATCTTGTCCTGGCCCCGGGCACCACAGAGCACAGTCTATGGTGTTCATACTCTCCCATCAGGTACTTGCACGTACTGTCTGGATCCACCTCAGCCTTCCCTTCCTCCAGGCTACGCTTCCCCCAGCACGCTCCGTGTAACAGATGTTTCTGTCCCTTAATCTTCTTTGTGTCCCTTACAGTCTTAGCCCAAAGCACGCATCACCAACTGCTTAGGGGGGAAGTCGTGTAGCCAATAGCAGAGCTCTTAACTCTGTCCTTCTCCTCCTCATCCTCTGCGCTGATGTGAGGTTTGTGCCCCTGAGCCCAGGAACCGGGTAGCCTTACACCAGCCTTGGGACGTCCAGGCTTTCCTTCTATTCCTGCACTCCCTCCCCGAATCCTTGGCCATGGTCTCTGAGATCGGGACGCTGCAGGCGGAGGGACCACCTCCACCTCCACCTCCACCTCCACCTCCACTTCCATGCACACCACACCCGTTCCCTGCTCAGTCTCCCTGCAGGGGGCGCTCTCCATCATAGGCAACCCGTGGCTCCGCCCCGTTCTCGCTTCCTGCTCGCGGATTGGTTGGCTGCCCTGCCACTCAGAGCCGGAGCGCGGCTGGCAGGTGGTGGCTCTCGCTCAGCCAATCGCAGCGCAGGCCGCTGGGCGGGGAAAGGGCGGGCCCGTCGCCATGGCAGCTGCGCTACCGCCCCAGACGCGTCCCGGGTTAAATCCCCGCCGGCGCCGGAGCCGGAGGAGTTCTTGCTCCGCCTGGGCGCGGAACCAGGCGGGATGATGCGGCCGCGCCGCGAGTTCGACCCGAGCTCCGTGTGGGCGCAGCGCCTGCGGCAGCTGGAGCAGCGGTTGCGCGTGAGGGGGCGCGGGGCGGGGCCGTGGCGGGGCCTGCGGGCGGGCACGCGCTGCGGGGCGGCGCCTCGGCCCCGGGCTGGAGGGCGGGGAGGGCGCGGCCGGGCCCGGCCGATTCCTAGGCGGGCATCCCGAGTGCGGCAGTGCGGAGCGGCTTGTTAGGCGCCCGTGTGTCGGAGCAGCCTGCTCCAGCTGGCGCTGGGATAGAAGTGGAGTGTCAGAGTAGTGAGCAGCTGTCCGCCGAGTAGGGCGGGCGCTCGGTGCTCTCGGGAGGCCCCCCCTGTGCTGAGGGAGCGCCTGGCGTTGAACGCCTCTAACAATGCTGCTGCCTTGGAAATGGAAACTTACGTGCTTATGGATAAATAAATAAATAAAATAGTGCTTTTCTAAGGAGCACGGTCCTGGAAAATGCCAGAAGGAGGTGGTTTCGCAAAGCAAAAGCGCTTGAAATTGTGTACCTATGCGTTGCCACACAAGCAAGCAACCTAACAGAAAAGATAGAAATAAAGGAATAATAACAGTTTATCCTAATTTTTGCATGCTCTTATACAAATACTGTTGTGATTACGAGATGGGGGTAGGTAGTCTATTGATCTCAGGAGTTTGAGAAACAGTGGAATATGGTAACGAAGGCTATCACAATGAAACTATATTAATCAGGCTTGTGTTTTTTAAATTTTCATTTTTGTGTATTTGGGTGGATTTTGTTCCTTAGACCAAAGAAGAAAGAATAGTTGTCCTGGAAACTGAAAATGCTGTTCTTCATCTAAAACTTGCAGAGGTGACTGGTTTTTTGTTTGTTTTTTTTTTTTTGTTTGTTTGTTTTTTTGTTTGTTTTTTTTTCCCCATAAAGAATTCTTGTGTAAATAGGAAAAAAAAAAACAAAAAAGCACAGAAATATCTGCCTTCCTCTATTCAGGTTTTGCCCTCTTTACCAGTTGGGAAAAGTCTCTGAACATCTAAGGCTCAGCATCTCTTTCTTTTCAAAATCATGAATGGTAGCAATAATAATAGGCTGATTAAGTAAATAGAAGTCAGCTTGAATTTCAGTATTTGCTATTGTTTTAAATCTAGAAAGCTGAACTGAGATAATGACTCTGGAAGCATTAAATGTGGAATATTTCTTTCTCCTTACAGGAAATATGTTTGTCTAAAAGACAATGGCAGACTTTTCAGGAATGCTTTTTAGGCACAATTGGGATGATGCTTTGAAAGGAACTGTTCGCAGAGTGCAGGAGAGACATTTCTTTAGGAGTAGACTTACCAGGGATGCCCTGCTGTGTGTGTTTTAGTACTGGTATTGTTGCACATTTGCCTTGTCACACAGCAATAACTGGATGCCCTCATTGCCTTGTATCCCTCTACAGAAGCATAGGTTATTCCTAGATCCTCACTGAAATAAGGAGAAGCCTGTGATAATGTTTGGGGCCTTCAAAGGTGGGGGGGGGTGGATTTCAGAGATCTAAAGAATTTTGAATATAGATGTAGGCTGCTAGAGCAGAGCCAGCTGTCAGTATTAGTGGTGGTGGAAACTGTTGGCCAAGAGTTTCTAATCTGGGCTGAAACATTAACTGCTTGGGTGACCTCAGGGAAGCCATTTGCCCTCCCTGTGGGTTTGCTAACTCCCGTGGATAAAAGTGGGTTTAACATTTTTCAAAGTCTAACTGGAAACAGGCGGTATATCTGAAATGAGTTTTGCTAGGTATACAGAAGAACACTAATTTATTCTGAGGAAATATTTTTATTATCTTTGTTCCTCTTTACCATATTCATTGAAAGCCTTAAGTATTTCAGCTGATTATTTTTTATCCTCACAAGCACAAGAAATCAATTTTTCTAGTCAGTAAGGTATATCAGATATAGGAGGGAGTTGTCTGTGTATCGGACAATGAAGTCTTGTTTTTCAAATAGAGCACTGCTTCATTTTATTGAAAAATCTGCTGAAAGAAATGGTCACCTACACAAACACAAAGAGTTTGGGCAGTGTTACCACCATCGGTCAGGAACAACGTCAAATTAAATCCTTTGCATTAACCTTGCACTAATGGTTCTTGCACTGATTCAGGCAGTTATTTAAATACACTTTAAAAATTTGCCTCTTCTTGGTTAATGTGCCCCAGCAATCTGAAAATGCGAGCTGAACTGACATCTGCGAAATAGTTTTACCTTAACTGAAGACTCTCTATTAAAAAAAAATACTAATTGAAATTAGTATTATTTAAGGTTGTGCAGTATTCCACCATATGTCCTAATATTCTACAAGCTCTGCTGGTGAGAAAAGCTACCGCCCTTGACTGTCTATCCCTGATCCTTCAGATCTGCCAGTGGAGCTGCCTGAGTGATTGAGCTGTAACAAGTTCAGTCACTGGAGCCAGGGTTAAGAGAGGCCTTATTCTTAACTTGCTAATTGGATTCATTTTGTTTGGAGTGAGTTGGGAGGCTTTAGAGACAAATTTATGAGGATTGCCGTAAATTAGGATTTGCAGTGTAAATGTTTGTCCATAGGTTGCATCAGTCTTATTAAAATGTTATCTCCTGCTACAGATCTTCCCTTAGTTCCTTGAGACAGTGATGAATTTCAGCACTTCTCCTGTGTTCTGCAGCCTGGTGTATTGTTATCCCAGCAGCATGCTGGAGGGGTTGTTACTGCACATAGGCACTCAGATTTCTAGGTAGTTCTCCTTTTTGCCTTGCTTTTTCTGTTTGGAAGTCTGTTTATGTACCTGCATAGCCCTTGCTTTTACTAGCAGTCATTGAGGTCCTGGTCCTGCAGCCTTCTTTAGGTAAAGCCAAGTCTGCCAGAATGGATCTGATTGCAAAACTGAGAATTCACTTTGGCGAACACTATTAAATAGTTCTGTTTCACTTCTGCTTATAATAAAGCTGACTATAAAAATGTTTTAGTCCATTTTTTGCTTTTATGCTCAAACACAGGTTTGCAAGTGCTGACCTATGAATAACTCTGGTGAATGTTAAAACTATATTAGTGGAGAAAACCCCAAAATCAAGGCAACATTTGCAATAAAGATGAACTTAATAGATGAAGTGATGCAATGACAGTAGCATGAACTTTCTGCTCTTATCTTAGTGTTTAGAAATGTGGAGGGTCATGGGGAATCTGTGCAGATGGTGCAGATTAGGTGCTAAAAGGAGGTTTTAACTACCCTAAGCTTACTTAACAAGGCTTGAGTACTGCAATTGCTTATATACATAAGCTTATTTTCAGGAGACACTAATTCTGGTGCACTACTAGTGTGCATTTTTGTGAAGCTGTTTGTGAATATTGCATCTGAGTTACATGAGTCTTGAAAATCTTTAGATTTTCAGAGTGTCTAAACACTGTATAGAATCAATCTCAACATCTGGGACGTTAAAGCCTGTAACAATTAAAAAAAAAAACCAACCAAATCTCTTCCTGCTATTTCTTCTAAGAACTTTTTGTAATAGTGCTAAGGTGGTGCATTGTTGTACAGAGCTTCCACTTGCTCCAGGATGTTGTATTGTTTTTGCCAGTATCTCCTGTAGTTAAACTGCAATTAAATGTTTGCTTTTTACCTATTATCAGATGATTAGAATTGAATCAAATCCATTGTGAGTAGATTTAGTTCTTTCATGTCTTTTATTGTACTCCTCTATGCTTTGCTAATTTAAATAACAGGGAATTACAATCACAGTGTGAATAAAATGTGGTGTGAGTAAAGTAGGATATAAGTCAGTGCAAGAGACAAGTGCATTTCAATAATAAAGAGGTAATTGATACTGGTTAATGAATGATAAATGTGAACAGGTGGCAGGGGAAAATAGCTGAATTTGCAGTTCATTTTAAGCACCAGGACTGTCAGAAAATTACAAAAATGCATTTTTAAGCGTTATGCAGATTCTTCTATATTGCAGAATTTCACAACAAGTCTCTACCGAGATGAGTCTTCTTGCATTCAAGCCTGTAAATATTTAATGTTGCATCATTTCTATTTTCCTTTTGATTTCAACATCTCAAAAAATTCTCAAGTGGCCGTAAAAATTGCTTTTGCATAATAGGTAATTTTAGACTGTTAGAAAGCATTCTTCTCCACAAACTTGAAAAATTGCTTTGGTTGCTGTAATCTCTGAAGGGCCAGAGTAGGGTTTTGCTGGCTCAGTTTGGCACCGTGGCAACCCCACTGATTGTAGTGGAGTTGGTGTTGTCAGGGGGCACAAAGCTGGGGGCTGTGTGTTACCCATTACTTCAGAACTTCAGCAGTTAACATGTATATGTTTGTCTTTGTTCTGCTTCACATCCTTCCACGGTGCTTTCTGCATTAAATCTTGTTTCCAGAGACTCTTAATGGACTGTGTATCTAGCCCTTTTCCCTAAGTGAAGGCACAGTTTTAACCTTTTAGATCCACATAAATAAGAGAGTTTAGGTACTGCAGAAGCATTTTAGTAATGTGATGCTCAGGTTTATGACCGAAGAAAGTAGAATTTTGTGATGTTGGTCTGTTACCATGAGGTGATTCTTCACATAACTCAGAAAAAGGTAAAAGCAAAGAAATTAAGTATTGGCAACATCCTATGTAATCAGATAGATGAATTACAAATATTTACAGAGAAAAAGGGGACAGGATGCAATAGGAAACATGAGTGCTTTAAGTGATTTTTTTGTGATCTTTTTTGAATAGTATCAAGGGTTGGCTGGAAGAAGCACTAATGAAGTATTGCAGCTCTATGCTGCTCATGGCCAACAGATGGAATTTCAGAAGAGTTCTGTTTTAACCCAGCTGCATGGAGCAATAAAGGTAAAGGCATTTAGTAATAATGTAGATATAATCAATGCCCTAAATATTTACATACTTATCAAATATAGTAAACCCCAGAAAATGGTGTGATATGGACCTGATCTGTGGCTTTATTGTATTCACAACAGGGCTTACAGTGGGGTGTGACAATGATTTCATAGTGGTTTTGCTGTAATAGGCTACAAAGTCACCTGAGAGGCTGGTAGAAATGGATGGTCCCAAACTCCAGGATCTTACATATAGGGTGCTGTTAATACTCGAGATAGATATTTTTGTAGACAAAACTTTACAATTCCCCATCTGACTATCATACAGACATCCCTGGAAACGGTAATTGTGATATACTTTAGCCAGGTAGGCAAATCCTTTGAAAAAGGCATTTGAGAACTCCACTGATTACTAAGAGTTCTCTGGCAGATCTCACAAGAACAGCAGTTTGCTGTATGCTCACTCAGGTTTTAATTTTGCATCAGAGAGACTGAAACTGTTCTCCTAGTGCCAGTACCATAATATCTGCCTTTGTCAATGTACTTTGTGAAGCTACAAATATCAGCTTTTCTCAGGGCAGCAATGAATGCCTGCATAAAATGACCAAAAAGTATCTCAGGAAAAAAATCTGATTCTTAACAGACAAAGGATACAGCTGAACTGGAGCATTGTTGGACTAGATGATTGTTGTATGGACCTATACTGTTTTATTCTAATTATAGCAGTTGTGCTTTGTAAATTTTTTAGTAGTATTTTACATTTTTGATTAGCTAGAATGGCAGAACTGCTTGTGATGCAATACCAGTGGATCGAGGTAGTAAACTATGAGATGTCAATGAATATTAGGAGGGAGCAAAGCTCTCTAAATGAAAGTCTAGATGAACAGTCATACTATACCCATAATAACAAAAAGATACTCCTTCCCATTTACATTGTATGGCTTTTGAGAGTGAGAAATGCAATGATTTTGTCCCTTTAGTTTAGATTGCCTTTTTATCATTGAAACAAATTAATTAATTCAAGGTCAGTACCACAGTTAGAAAAATAAAATGTCACAGAACATGTAACACTTTGTAACATAGACTGACAATAAAATATCAGTGTTTCTGTGGCATAAGGTATTGTTAAGTTCACCTTAGAGATGGTTTTATGTGTCCATTTCAGGACTTGGATGTCAAGAACTTTACTAATCCTAAAATCAGGTCAATTTGTTTTTATTTAAGTGGACTTGTAAGTGAATATAGGCTGATCTTACAAACATTTAAAAGACTCATCATGTATATTACGCTGAATTACATATGTAATACAAATACTTTTCTGAACAACATCAGTTTCTGGGTTTTTTTCAGAATACATCTGTTGTCATAGAACATGCCTCAACTGAATCCTAGCAAATACCTTCTGATCCAAGTGTGGAAAATGAAAGTAAGGGATATATGGATCACAATTTTTCATTGCTAATTCTGGGTATGACTTAAAAGTCGACAGAGCCCACACATACTTATTTTTGTCTGATGAAATAACAAAGAGACTTGGTTATACTTGAAGCTGTGTTACAGTCAAAATAGGTATGATAAAGTGATAAGGATCCATAAAATCTTGCTGAAAATTTTAGGAAATTACATTGCTAAATGTTTTGCAGGATTCTTCTCTAAACATACTGAAAGGTATTCTCTTGAAGGCTTCCTTTCATCAAATAGAGGGTTCTTCTTGCCTGTGATGTCTCACCGTAATAATTTTGGTTGTTATATTGATTCTTCTTAACTGCTGGTTCTGTGTCTTTATAACATATTTTTCTTCTTGCTGAGAAGAGACTTAAGCAAGACCTGAAGAGCCTTCATTCATTTGCTCTTGAGCTTTCAAAAGGCTTTCAACTTGAAAGCAAGACTTGTCTTTACCAAGTTCTGGCAGCAGTCCAGGGGATACAGCTGCAGAATGAAGCAATGCAAAGTAAGACTCATTGCACTTAGATTTCAAACATGTAACATCAACAATGTAATTGTTTAATGTTACTAATGTTAAAAGGTTGAGTTTGATTTTTGAGAAATGTGTCACTAAAATTGTAGCATTTGTTTTTTGTTTGACATTAAATCATGAAGGAATTCTGAAGCATTAGAAGTACTGCAGAGGTTATGACTGATAATTTGAATTTGTCTTTTGTGTGGATTACAGGTGCTATTAGACTGCTGCTGAGTTGGCTCAGCTGTAAAATTTTAAAACTGAAGTTCTCAGGCTTGTTATCTTGGCTATTTTAGAAGAGCCAAATAAAGAATGCATTGCTTTATAAAGCTGAAATTTGTCTGCTTTTGACTGTACCAAGAAAGGGCTTGGATTATTTCAGAGGTTCCTGAAAATGCTGCCTGAAATTAGGATAGACTTGATTTTTAATATTTCTGTGTATTTATTGAGAAAAAAAAACACAAAAAAACCTTCAAAATCAAAAACCAGTTGCATCTGCTGGACTCTAGATACTAACAGCACATGGATTGCTGTTTTGGAATTCAGACACTTCCTTGTTCACGTATACATAGGAAAGAGAACCAGTGCACTGGTACACTCTGCCCTCATCCCTGAGGATTAAGTGTATTGGTCCTACACCTGAATCCCATGGTGTGGAACTCTGCAGTTGCTTTCAATATCCTTGATTCTGGTGAAGCTCCTACCAGGCCTGAGAATCACATGACACATGCAATGCTTAAATTGTCTGATGTGTAGCAGCCTGGTGAACTACAACAGATACACATATTTACAATCAGAGGCCCTTTGTGATGCTCTGAAATCCATGTGCCACCATTTAAAAGATATGGCTTTTTTCCTTGAATTATTTCATTTTGGGACTGATTTGGTTCTGATGGGACTCCTCATGTCAATAGCAACAAACAGCACTCTTGGTGATGGGTGTTTACAGAACTGATTTCTGTATGTTAAGTACTAAATTATAAATAAAATTTATTTGATTACTGTATTATTCTTGTAGAGAAAATGCTCCTTCAAGGAAAAAATTCCAAAGTTGAAAATTAACTTTATCTGAAAAGTGAAGTTTTCTCTTATTGGAGCAGGGGTCTAAATGCACAGATATAAGATTGAGTTTGGCACTTGAGCTACTGTGGTGTAAATAATAAGTAGTCTTCAGAGACCTGGCAGAATTCCGTTGACTGTTCTCAATTTGTATTTCCTGGTGCATTGTTCTTTGAAATCATAAGTAGGAGAAACTTCCCTAACTATAACAAAATTACCATCCACTTTGGTGGATGACTTTTGTTTTGAATTTGGCTGGTTTTCAGTTCTCTGTCAGGTGTTTTAGATGGAGATTCTATTGTTAAGGTTAAATATGACCATTGGAATTGCCATCCTTAAATTACATGCAATCTTTTGTAGACAGAAAGCCCTAAGTATATATTACCAGTTTAATCTTAAAATAGACATTGAAAACAAGGGAGAAAATTACAGAAGAAGCATTTGAGTAGATAAATTTCAACGTTGTAGTTGACTGGCAAGAAGCATTAAGAACCCCCAGGAACTATGGGGACTGCTACACATCCATATCTCAGACGTGCTGTGGCTGTGCTAGATTACGCTACTCCTATTTTTCATGTTCCTGTTATGGAACTTTGTGTTATGTGTGTATATCTCTTTGTGAAACCACACACAGAACAGATCAGGGATTACTTTTAGACCTTTGTTTGACTGAAGAAAAAGTTGTGTGAGCACATCAGAATGTCTGGTGCAGCACTGAAGGGGAGGGAATAAAAAGCTCTGGGACTGTCGATTGAAGGAAGGACACTGTAAAGGTTACAGTCCTGAATATGCTTGCAAGACATCACAACTGTTAGACTGATGTTACTGTGATCAGTAACATTTAAACAGAGAAATTGCTGGCATTCCCAGCTCCCAGGAAATTTCCATATCAATCAATGAAATGGGCGAAGGATGGGGGAAAGGGATGTTTGTAATGGCTGCATTCATGTGGTGACTACTTCTCTTGCCTAATGAAGAGTGTGTCACTAGTATTTTAAAACAGATGTACCCAATGTCTATCCCGAGGTTAAGGATAAAAATGTAACGCCTGTATAGCTTGCATTTGATGCCAAGCAGAAAAGTAGGAAAATGTTAAATCAGTGTTTGTATTTGTAACTGCATAACTACTTTCAGAAAAAAAAAAAAAAAGTTTAGAAATACTTTATGCATCAGGAAACTTTTTTTCTTTCAGGACTGGAATGACGGAAGAGTACCCTCAGCTTTACCTTACTGCTTGTTTCAGAGACTTAGGGAACTCAAAGTGTGTGTACACAAATATGTAAATGGAGATACTTATTGTGAAGTTACTTAAATAATAAATGAAATATTACTTATGTAATCAATGGACTCTAACCTTGTGTTTTAAAAATTACAGTATAATTAGGGGCCAGTGACGGTAAGTGGCCCTTCTGAAAATTTATGGTAACATATTTACATGGGATGCTCCAAACCAAAGCATGCTCATGTTACTCCATTGGATACTCTCTTGCTGGATACAGAAGAAGGATTTTTCATAGTGAAACTCCTAGACATTGATTCCCCAGCTATTAACATTATGCTTCCCCTGCATGCATGCACTTGTTGACGAACACTGTGAGCTGGAGATGAGCAGCATGGGTATTAGAAAAAAGAGATCTTAGGAATCTCTAGTGTACACATGTCCCTTGAAATAATCTGTTTTTTAGTCTATACCAGAGAGATTAAATTGTATGTGTGACCATGCTGAGATACTAAGTCTGTTCCTTGCTCTGCAAGGTAGCACATACTGAGGCTGGTGGCCATATGGCTAATTCAGCTCTCAGACCCTGGTTTTGACTTCTTGATACAATATTGATTTCCCACTGGGATTCCTAAAAACTTGCTTTTTACACAAGCTTATAGTCGCATAATGTGTCTTCTGGGCTGTATGTTTGTTTTAGGCCTGCTCAGTGTTAATACAATTGGGTGAAATAAAACGATTTGTCAAGTTAGAAGGCTTTTATAATGATCCATAAAAGTCTTTTCAGTTTGGTGAAAGACTCCCTAAGGTTCAAATGGTCCATCTTTTCTATGAATTCCTCATGGAATGATGGACCTATCTTAAAGGGGAACCTTACAACTGTTGTAAAGGATTAGTAGCACTGTAAGTGAGGCTGAGGGTAGATGACAGGGTAACTTCTTGTCAAGTAAGCCCACATGAGTCTAATAAATGCAGATGTGGTATGAGCTTTGCAAGTGACAGCCCCATCTAGCAGCAGGCTGCTTCAAATGTACGTTTCAGGCTTTGCTGGCAGATAACATCACTCTGATTAAAATGACACATATGGGCTGCCTTTAAATATCTTACATTATTGATTGCTTTTCAAGACTTCACATGTATAGTTGTGGTAATAATTTGTAGCTTCACATAGCAAGAACTATGATCAGATTTTTCATAGATGTCTAGTAAATCAGAAACCAAGCCTCCTAACTGAAATTTGGTAGAAGTTGAGAAGGTTTGTGCTTATATTTCATGAGGTGCTACTGGACAACTCCTTTTGTAAAGTCATGGAGTTTATATCTCTGAAACTGCTTTCTTCTAGTGTTTCAGATAAAAGCTTTTGATCTTGAGCAGTCGCTACAAGAGGTGACAGAGAAATATGAGAATGAAAAGCAGAAGAGGAAGGTTCTACATAACAGCTTAATTGTAAGTATGTTTAATAACAGAACATTGACTTATTTTGTTGGAATTATTCCCATAATTTCCTCACCAATATAAATAGAGAATATAATTCACATGGATATATCACTTGCCCCAGCTGTCTATATATGATGTGTTTATTTGCTGAGGCACATTTGTGTTTTAGTAAAGCCACTTCTTTCTTTTTACACACGATCTTCCAAATGCTCTCATGTGACCTGTTGCCATAAGGAATATCATCCATTTTGAATAGTGGACAAAAGTTGAGTTTCATTATCCTCTTCTCTAAATTTTCAGCTTCTGAAATGGTTTTGAAATTCTTAAAATTAAATAACTTGATACTGCAAAGTAGTCATTTTTTTTCCCCAAATACCTCAAGTTGTATCCTGCTCAGCCATTAGTGATGGGGTCATTTGAGATTAAATTTTTCCTGTTTGTGCTTTAAATTCACTCTTCCTCCCCTCCCCACAAATGACTAGTTTTGGGTGTCCTGAATCAGGACCTGATTTTTAGAAACACAAGCCTCCTTCAAACAAATTTTTAAAAAGTTTTTCTAGCTGGGACAATGAATCACTTTGTTAAAAAGTACTTACCTTCTAAATTTTGCCTTGTGTTGCAGTTTACTGAAAGGATATTCCCCAGAGCAATGGGGTATTAATACCAGTGGTCAATAGTCCTCACAGGCCGGCTGTGTTCAGTCATGTTATAGGTAAAAATAAAAATAGACCCAGTAGTAATAAAAATTAAAAAAAAAAAAAATTCGCGACCATATTACAGTCCCAACAGCCACCAATCAAAAATGACAGCGCAGACCCCGGGATACAGGCTGGGTGAACGCAGATTCGGCCTCCATCGTACTGAATCCCCCTCCGTCCACACTTGCTGCTCCACAGGGACAGTTCTTATACTCTTTTTCTTGCCTGCGGCAGAGTCCCTTTGTCTCCTTTCAAAGTTCATCATATTCATGTTGGTTTCTTTCTTCACTCGAAGCTGCACAAAACCTCATCTGGGAGGAGACTGATGTTCCTCCTCTGATTCCCGGAATCCTGTATTCAGGTGGAAGGTGTTGATGGCCCTGGCTATCTAAGATGTGTATCTTCATGGGCCATCACCACTGGGCATCCACCTGAACAACCATCTCCTGTGCAGCCGAGTTTTCCTTTGTATGTTAATGCCGTGTTCCACCCTTGTCAGCCAGCAGTGGTTTCGCCATCCTAGGATTAAACCATGGTCCTCCCTTAATAACATGTTTAATACATATTTCTGTATTTCATAGGCATGAATTTCTACCATATCCCTAAGAAGTCATACAGAATGAGAACTGATCACCAACAAAATGGAGGAGATAAACATGTCTAAAATGTCCTACAGTAAAAAATCAGCTACTGGCTTTTTAATCATGTAGGAATACAGTGGAGAGGAAAATATACAACATATTTTATATTCCACATCTTCCTCAGGACTGGTGGAAGAGAAATGGAGTGTGTAATGTCTGTTGAGTTAATGCAAGTATCTGAAAAAGTTCATGTAAGGAGGAAGGAGAAAAAGGAAGGGAAGGGGAAAATGGCTCAGAGGTTTTTATTTTTGTCCATGTGACCTAGAGAAGGCTATACAATTCCAATGCTCTAAAGAGCTCATACTTCCTCAAGTACTTTGTCCTACCTTACTATGACAAATTATATTGATTCTATTTTTTCCCCACAGAGTCTAGGTCTGTGATGTGGTAAACACTGGCTTTCTTACACATGCTCATATCTGTTCGACAAATTTCAGTGTATTTATCCTCTCCAGTAACTTGTGTTAAATACAGCTTAATATTCTTATCCCAGGAACTGAGAGGAAATATCAGAGTCCACTGCAGGATTCGACCATTGCTACCTTTTGATGATGGTGCTGGACCTTCACAAGACAGGTAAACTGTTTTGATTGTGTTAGAGCCTATCTGACTCAATAGTTATGTTTATATCAGAACAACTGTGTCCTTGATTTTTCTGGTTTTATGTGTGTGGGGAGACAATGATGGTGTCATAAAAACTAATTGTTGTTTTCTTTCTCCTGCTAAATTGGCTCTAGCCAATCTTATCCCCCTGCCTAAAAGTCCAACTTAATAGAAAACCATAGTTGTTCTGCCAAGGCAGGATTATCCTTGGCTTGGCAAAAGTAACACAGCTGCAATCAGTTTAGAGTGTATTCACTATCCTATACAAATTCTGGGATGCAGTAATGTGAGAGCTGCCAAAAGTCGTGGGTAGAGACACACACTCAGTGTTACAATTGTTTTGTAATGCTGTAGAATACATTGGCTGTCACCACAAACATTGGTAATTCTACTTCAGTCTAATTGGGCTCTGCATTCCTAATTTATAAAACATTTACTGTAACTGATGCGTCAAAACATTGCAAGATCCAAAAGGAAAAGAGGGACTAGATGCAAGTATCTGCTTAACAGGCTGAATTCTCCATAGATGACTAACATGAAAGAAAATAGGGATTGAAGTGTATTCAAAGAAAGAAAGCAAGAAGGGGAAAACTAGGTGGGTGGCTAGAAACCAGTAACATAATTTGCTTTATCAGTAAATAGCTGATTTGGGGCTTCTTTTACTTTCACTGCCTGGTATTTCTAAAAGAGTACATTCAATGTTTTAAAGTTTATTAATTTTTGACAAAGTTTAAAAAATATTGTTTTAATTAAAGCAAAGTCAAAAATAACAGGCAAGATATTTCAAGAAGCCTGAAGTTGAAACTTGCATTAGCCTATGCTTGGTACACCTGGGAAGGAACCCACTCACTTTTTTTTGGTGCAGTATGAAATAGTGCAATCAGGTGCTGACTTGCAGTGTAAAACAGGATGGACTGGGCCAAACAAATAACTTTCATGGGTAAATTTCTAAATGTATCAAAAAGTAATTTAAATAACACTTATCTGTAAAACTATGGACCGATTTTCCAAAACCTTGCACACATAAATAGACTTATACACCTTAGTAATCCCAGTCAGTGTTTGGACTAATCATGGATTCAAGATCAAGGACAAATACCTGAAAAGAGGGTGTTTTTCACTTTAATTTTCTAAAGTGAAAGCCTCTTGTTGCAAACTCATGAAACAATCACAAAATAATAGAATTGATTGCCATGTGCATTCATCTTAATTTGGTTTGTTCTAAATGTCTTTTCTAAAGCAGAAAATTTTGCTTGATTGCACTTAAATTTTGCTTGCCTTCACTTTAATTTGATCTTTACTCAAAATTAGCTGTGATGTTAGTATGTACATAGGGTGCAATAATACTGGCAATTCTGAAAGGTACTCTTCAGACAGTGTGTAGTTCACAGACACTTTAAACATCGTTTTTTCTCAGCTAAGTGGAACACTTATGGTTTGAAAGGTACCTGTTCTTCCCATTTTTTCTTCCTTTACAGGCAAATAAACTTTTCAGAAAAAGTGGCATATGCAGCTGATGATGTGAGTATTTTATTGTGGAATTCAACAGTACATTCACAGATACGACAAGAAACAAAAGGGGCATGAGAATCATGAGTTTCAAAAAAACCAAAACAACAAGGCCAGGTGGTGCTCAGATTTGATTACTCGTGGGTGCAATGGCAGGTGGTTTGTGCTATTTTCATCCTGACTCTTTGTAGTGATAATAGCTTGGAGCTTCTGCTGGGGCAGCCATCCTTTAACCGGAGGTTGAATGTTTGCAACAGTCAAACTGCTGCTAACTTCCTGTTGTCAGTCCCTTTGAGCCACTTGTATGTGCTGTAGCTGTTTCTAAAATTACGTCAGGTTTTTTCATATTTCACTATTGCAACACAGCTAATGCATTGGGACAGAAATCTGATACCTTGTGAACCACATCAGCCTATGTGGTGCTGCAGTCAAGCATGTTAAAGTATCCTGGCTTAGATTAATTAGAGGAAGAATGGTCATTGAGGTTGCAAATCCAAATGGCATTCCAGGATTAACTGAGGCCATTACCAAGATATAAAATTTAAAAAGGCATAGTAGTGTGAGCTAAGGTCAGTGTATTAACTTGGGTTTTAATTTTCATAACTGCCGTAGTTCTTTTGGCTACTTACATGGTGATGAGCCAAATTCTCTGTTATAGTGTAGTGCTTGATATATTGCTGAAGTGACCTACAGTATGTTATGCATTTAAATCTCCCAAATTATACTTTCATTAGGCAGATCTCACTTGTATAATACGGATAATTATATATATATATATATCTGTATCTATATCTATATGTCTGCAATTAGGTAACTAATGGAACTCATAAAGAGATGAAGAAAGTAAATATATCAGGAGATAAAAACCAGGGACCTGTAATGGTAGACATAGTATTCTGGATATCCTGACACATTTATTGTACTATAAAATACTGCAGCCATTTCTGACCTGTTAAATTTTATTGCATAAGGATGAAATTAGGCATATTTAGGAATATTTAGGTTTTGGATTATTTCATATAGATATATGATGTATTACAGTATTGATATGTTTACAGGCAAGGCAGTATTGGCTTACTTATGCCAATTTATGAGTTTTAGTTTGTATGAAAGAGTGACCTTCAGTATGATAATCTTATTAAATATTTCAGGAATATAAATATAAGCACGGGATTGAGAAATGAAATTTGTAAAATGCTAACTTCCTGGTTTTGAAAAACACAACATAGACTCCAAGTGTTTTATTGGTTTGCCTGGACATTCACTGAGTTAAAATACTTGCCAGTTTTAATCAAACACCTGAAGTCTTTGTTAGTTTCTTCATATGAATTTATCTTTCTTTAAGAAAAAAAAATGTTGCAAGAATCCTTCTTACAAAAAGCAGTCGATTTAGACTAATCTTACAAAAGTAAAGGAAAATAATGTTTGTTCCCTGTTTACTTTGTTAGCAACTGAAGATGTTATGCTAGTGGCTAAGATAAATGTGCAATTTTCAGATTAAAATATGGAGCTTGACTTGTATTGAGCTTTTAGTTGCAACACAGTAAATGATTGTATTTCTGGAAACAAGTTAACCATTTCCCAGATAATGATTTAAAGGAAATTTTAAATTAAGGTGAAGGAAGACTGTGTGTGGTAGATGAAATAAATGGGCAGGAGATCTTTCTCCTTTTTAATGCCTTTATTAAGAAGAATCAGCTCAGGTGGGGAGAAATCGACGGGTTGTGCCCACACCGCCGTTGCTCCCAGGCGTGGCACGAAGAAGGAGGATGATGCAGCTTTGTCCACTGGTCTGCAGACAGAGCTGGGGACTCTGTCCTCACGGGAGAGTCGTAGAGTCCTTAGCTTGTTTGTTTAACACTCCGGGATGTCTTCTTAATCAGTATCTTTTCAGGTTAAGGTGAGAAACAAAAAGGTTCAAGCAGGTACGGGACTATGCTCCTATCCTTAGACGTTACTTAAGTCACTTGTTGGCTCGTGATTTTAGGGGTTCTTCTTGTAAAAACTGTAAAACTGTAAAAAAACCCAGGGTGCAATGCATTTCTCATTTGCATGTTGGCTCTGGTGTCACTGCCCATTCTCTTTACCCTGGAGGGTTTCTCGTGGTGTCTTTTTGGCAAGCGGCCAGCATCAGGGGAACAATAGTTAATCACCGGCCATTAACGGGCGATTAGGGACTTTTTCTTTGGCAGCACACCCAAAGAAGTCTGACTGGTTTGACTTGTTGTTTTTTTTTTTAACTCTGAAACTTAAAAAAAAATACAACTTTCTATTCATAACAGTAGAGACGCTGAGTTTATTAGTTTTGCTTTTTAAATCATGACTGCCTCCCCAGAATTTTTTTTCCTGAAAATATTTTGTGTGTAGCATAATCAGGCAGTTATTTGCCATGATTATGTTAGAAAGCAGTGCCACATTTGAGAACCAGATTCATGGAGACTACATGACTTGCATTTAGTCTCTGAGTGGGTTTTTTTGTTTAGAAATTCATATAATTCTTAAGATGCATGGTCTTTTCTAACATATTGTTCATCTTGTGTAGAGAAACATGATTCTGATTTTAAGTCTAAAAAAGCTTAAGATTTTACTAAGTGTAGCAGAAGAGTATTGCATTTCAGTTTTTGAGTTACTTGAAGGTTTTTGAAGTTGTCTTTTTTGCTGTCCTGTGTATGCTCAGCTCCTCAACATAACAACTGTCTGAGCCTTTCTTCTGAAGCTTATTGTGCAATAACTGTGGAGAGTGAGTACATACCACACATCAGGTTGAACCACTCCACACAGATTAGGACACTGAGCAGTGCTGGTATTGTCAGTACCCGAAGAAGCTGTGAGGGTAGTCAAACATTGGCACAGGTTGCCCAGAGAGTGTTTGGATCTCCATCTTTAGAAACATTCAAAGCCTGACTGGACGTGGTCATTACAAATGCTCATATGAAACTTCTGCCTGTTAACAGTCAATTCTTTTGTTTCTATGTTATGCAAATAGTGTTTTTTTTCCTCTTATTTCTCACCTTAGAGCAAGCTTGTCTGCAAGTATATTAGATATCTGAATCAGAAATTTATTCTGTCATTCTATATATTTTGCATTTTTTTCCTTTTCCCTTCCCCCAGAGCCTGTTGGTTACTGATTCTATTAGAATTTTTGTGTCAGACCATTTAGTTGCAATGTTGTACTGACATCTGTACTCGGCTAAATTTGCCAGTACTGGGGTGGGTAACATAGCTCGTTCTGTAGAGTAAGTGTTTTGTCATCATTAGTTTGATAATTATACATTTCTATTCTCCAAAGAGGTAGTGTCCTGGATTAGGGCAAATCTGGGAGAAAACCTCCAAAAGGGGGCCCCCCCAGAAAACAAACCCACACTGCCCCTCCCCCCTACCGGTTCGGGAAGGATTCCTCGGAGAGAAGTGGAAAGAACCTGTTTATTTAACAGGCAAAACATCCCCAGCACACAAATGAACAATACTGAATGACAACACTCTTTCACTGATCTGAAAAGGATGATAAATTCAGAAAATCTCTCCCGGGAGTGGTTGCTCAGTTGTCAGTCCCTCTGGCACTGGGGATAGCTGCTGCAGCCACAAGATGCAAACTCTTGGTGTTTCCCAGGTCCCAGACTGGAGCAGGTTTGAGTGGTTCCAAAAAAAAAGAAAGGAAAAACTGTCCAGGGAAAGATTTGGACTGCTTAGCTAAACTAACAAGCAGAAGCAAAAAGCAAAAGCAAAGCAGGAGCACAGCAGAAGCAAGAGCAAGAGCAAAGCAAAAAAGCAAAAGCTGCACTATGTACTGCCCCATCTCTGTGTCCCGCCAGCCATGGGGGAGCAGACTGATAACAAATCAAAACAAAACATTCGCTCTTCAGAGCCAGTCTTGAAGGCACAGAACATAATATCCAGTATAAACAGAACAAACGATTGGGGATACAATCATCATAACATCATCCTAGGACAGGTAGAAATACTCATAAGCTCAAAGGAAGAAATTTGATGTTTATTAGCCTTCTGCACACTGGAAAAGGCTAATACTAACATATAAAAATAACAACATGTGATTGTTATTTGGTCAGCTCTTTATAATTTCAGTCTGTGGCAATACTTATTTGAAGGCCACTAGTTCAGCACTCCAACCCTCTTGTCTGAGGCACATTAGGCATTTCAGCACTCCCATCAAATGCAGTAATGTAACCACAGGTTAGTAAGCTAGAAAATCTCTGAATTGGATGAAGTGTGCTGGAGAGTTTCTACCCAATTTGTTGTAAACTCCCACATCTTTTTCTTTGCTTTTCTCAGCAATTAAGCAGCATTTGCTATGAGTAGCAGAAGAGCACATAATTTGCTAGCTAAGCTATGTCAGACTGCTGTAATTGTACTCTGGTAATAGTTTAAAGGGCTGTTTACATATTTGTCAGACTTACAAAGTTACTGTATAACTCATCTGGAAAGCGCATTCCACTAAAAATTCACTGAATTCTACAGATTGTTGTAGTGCAGCTCATTTTCTTAGTTGTGGACTACCATGTTATTTAATAAAATGTGCATCTTTTGCTTAGTTGTAGGCAGAGCTATCTATGAAATCAATCTGAAAAGGCACTGTCAAAATTTGCCCAACAATAAAAAAAACACTCTTTTTTGCAATGATTTTTTGCCTGTATTGGCAGTTGAGGAGCTTGCGTTTACTTGCCTGTGCCCTTTCTAGGTCCAATAAACAGTTCAGGTAAGGGTTTGGATCTTTCTCTTGAACTTAAGTGCATCTTTTGTGTTGGTTGTTATTTAATAACCTGAATGGCTTTTGTTATAAATGAAAAATTAAAAATAGCCAATTTCAATAAAAAAATTAAAAATAGAATTTATTTCGCGACCGTAATACAGTCCTGACAGCCACCAATCAGTCGGACAGCATACCACCCCCGGGAGGTGATGCGGGTGAACGTGAGATTGGTCTCTCTAGTACCAGTTCTTCCCCATCCACACTGGCTGCTCCGAGGCAGCAGTTCTTATACAGTTTATTTTGC